GGTCTCTCACAGTCAGTGATGATGATAGACGCGAGATCGATTGTTCTTCTTCTGTTTCCTTTGTAATTTGTCGCGCACTTATTTAGATCGTAAATTCTAACCAGATAGAAGGGTGTTTATGTCAATTACCTACCGACATTCGTAGCCCCTGACGTCGTCAAGTTTATTAACGGCGTTACTCGGTGTTTCCGTCGTTTGTAACGGCGATGGATCTTTATATATAAACGTGAAAGATTTAAAAATAAATTTACAATGTAATTATCTAATTCGTTAGGTCCAACTGATTTGGTAATTGGTATGCACTATTTGCTGGTATGTTTTTTTCTCCAAGAACACGTATTTGAGATGCTTTATAGTATTATTTTACTTTAGGAAATTGTATTGGCTAATATCGTCAACGTTGTTCGTATTTGTTGTAGAAGACACATACTTGATGTTTTCTTGTATCCTAAAATATGAATTTGGTTAGTGAGAACAAATTTTGCCACTTATTTATCTACACAACACAAATGATGATGACACAAGGATTTAAGCAGGAGTGGTGATGGATCTTTGAATCTTAGAAGTTTGAATTACTATTTTGTTCTGAATAATTAGATATATGGATAATCGTTTCTATGAAGACTATTACGAGTGTACTCAAGTTGCAAATGAAAGACAACTTGGACTTGGCCAGATTTGGGAAACAATATAACTTTTGATAAATGGATTATTCATGCCTTTTCTTTTGTAGATCGAACTTAAGCTAAGTTTTAATCACTAAAAACATCTTCAATGGAATATCTTACTAAATTTCTCAAACTAATAAAAAATAAAGCAATATTGAGTTTAAAATATTGGAAGAAACCTCACACTATTTTGATATTTTTTTTATTATAGTTGAAAAATTTAGTGAGATACTCCCATTAAAGATGTTCTAAATCGCATAACATTATGAAATCTCGTAAAATTTGTTTAAGGTAGTTTTCACGCGGGATTAAGAGATTTGCTCATACTGCATTATTGTTTTTAATTTAAACACCTACAAAATCTATTTATTGTGTTAGATTTACATCGATTATACTTCTAAACATTTAATCCAATATGTTTTAAAGTGGGCAGAATCACTATATATTAATTACATTTAAATTGTAATACTTATTTAAACTAGTTATTCTCTAAAATATCACATTTTAAGTTTTTTGTTCTAAATACCGTACTACTACCTTAATTTTTAAATAAGAAAACAATTTTTTTTTATTGACAAAAAAAAAATCAATATCAAAAGGACTTAACTTTTTTTATATAATGGAGAAAATCTAAATCCTAATGAGAGAATATGGAAAAAGGATATATGACAATGTATTAATTTTGTTTATAATTTATTTAAAATTAACAATTCTCTATGCTGCTTTTGAGATTTTAAACTGTTTGGGATAATAAATTTTTATTTCTTAACATTAAAACCAAAAAAAAAAACTTTTTATTATAGTAAGATATTGTTTTTTTAAAATACTCTATATATTTATTTTAAAACGATACCTTAATATTGTCTATGGCATTTAATAATAAAGGAAAACTATATAAATATGTTGATGTAATTTACCTAAATATCTCCTTTTCTCTGATTTTATAATTAAATTTCCTTTTTTCTCCCTTATATAAATTGCCTTTTTTCCTAGAAGAGAAGAAATGAATAAAAAAACAAATTCTTAAATGAAAAAGGAAAAAAAGAAAAAATATACTGTATAAAAAGTTCTAGAGTGTTCCGCTCCACAAGACCTTGAACAAAAGCAAAACCCAATTTACATACAAGAAGTCTCCAAACAGCAGCCACAACAAACTCCGTCTCCTTCTCCTTCTTTCGCCATCGATTTCATTCTAGGGTTTTCCTTTAACGACTGAGAAACATGTTCGGAAGAGGACCTTCGAGGAAGAGCAGCGACAACACTAAGTTCTACGAGATCCTTGGTGTTCCTAAGACCGCATCACCGGAAGATCTCAAGAAGGCTTACAAAAAAGCCGCCATCAAAAACCATCCCGACAAGGGTGGAGATCCCGAGAAGGTTAATTCTTCAATCCCCTTTTCCTTATTGCTCAGATTCTGTGGAATTCGATTTGTGTCGGTTTGGGAAATCTAGTTTTTTTTAGTTTGATTTGGATTCTCCGATCTATGGAGGTCGTGTTTGCTCTTGGATCTTCGTTAAAACAATTCTGAATTTCCGATTCGATCTGAAATCTGCGAGTTTTAGGTCAACTTGTTATTAAAAGCAAAGATCTTCTTTTTATATGATAGATTTTGTGGTAAATAGATATTTGTCCAAGTGTTGTTAGGCTACTTGGATATTTCACTCTATTGTTGTTTTGTGTTCTGATGCTTAGATTTGATTTAGCCAAATTTTCTTCTTTCGGTATATAGACAGTATAATTTATTGCTTTGGTGATTATTACTTGAAGTATATATGGTTGTCTGTGTAAACTGTGGTTGTGATTACAATATTTAATAGTATGATACATATCTCTGCAGTTCAAAGAGCTAGCTCAGGCTTATGAGGTTCTTAGTGATCCCGAGAAGCGTGAGATCTACGATCAATACGGTGAGGATGCACTCAAGGAGGGAATGGGTGGTGGAGGCGGTGGGCACGACCCGTTTGATATCTTCTCCACCTTCTTTGGTGGTGATGCAAACCCATTCGGCAGAGGAGGTTAGTACAGTGCTCATAAATCTCTCGATGTTGGCATGTTGCCTTTGAAGAGATAATGAAGGAACTTTGGTTTAACTTTTTTTTTTCCTGAGTAGGTCCTAGCAGCCGGGCAAGGAGGCAGAGACGTGGAGAAGATGTTGTTCACCACCTGAAAGTTTCCCTAGAGGACCTTTATCTGGGAACAACAAAGAAGCTCTCACTTTCTAGGAAGGCTTTGTGCTCAAAGTGTAAAGGGTTAGTACTTAGTACTCTATTCTTTCACAATTGTGTTTCTGACCATGTGTGTATTGGCTGGTGAAGTTGACTAACAATTATGCAAAGTTTCCTTTGGTTGCTTCTTTCTTGTATATCAGATTTTCATATTGAATATCTAAGATACTGGAAATAGTTCTTCACTGACATTATTTCCCTTATGATTGCAGAAAGGGTTCAAAGTCTGGAGCTTCAATGACATGTGGTGGATGTCAGGGTACGGGAATGAAGGTTTCGATCAGGCAGTTTGGACCTGGAATGATTCAGCAGATGCAGCATGCTTGTCATGATTGCAAGGGCACAGGAGAGACCATCAATGATCGGGATAGGTGTCCTCAATGCAAAGGAGAGAAGGTTGTCTCCGAAAAGAAGGTGCTTGAAGTAACTGTGGATAAGGGAATGCAGCACAATCAGAAGATCACATTCACTGGACAAGCAGATGAAGCGGTTTGTGTTACTCGATTTATTCTTGCTTTTTATCATTATGTTATTTGTTTATTGACTGACGTTTTGTGCCTTTTTTTCTTTTGGAACCAGCCTGATACAGTGACTGGAGATATAGTGTTTGTCATTCAGCAGAAGGAGCACCCAAAGTTCAAGAGGAAGGGGGATGATCTCTTTGTGGAGCACACCCTCTCTCTAACCGAGGCCCTGTGTGGCTTCCAGTTCGTCTTGACCCATTTGGATACAAGGCAGCTTCTCATCAAATCCAATCCCGGAGAGGTCGTCAAACCTGGTACGTATTTACTTGGCCCAATCATGATCATCCCTCTCAATCGTTATTTTACTGGTTTCTTACCGTGGTGTATATTGGGTTGTTGATAGATTCATACAAGGCGATAAGTGAGGAGGGAATGCCGATATACCAAAGACCGTTCATGAAGGGTAAGCTGTACATCCACTTCACAGTTGAGTTCCCTGACTCGCTGAGCCCAGATCAGACAAAGGCCATTGAAGCGGTTCTGCCAAAGCCGACAAGCGCGGCTCAAATGAGTGATATGGAAATAGATGAGTGTGAAGAGACGACGCTGCACGATGTGAACATTGAGGATGAGATGAGAAGGAAGGCTCAAGCTCAAAGAGAGGCTTATGATGACGATGACGAAGGCGATGGCCCAGGCGGTGCTCAGCGTGTGCAATGTGCCCAACAGTGATCGCCACAAGCGCACTTTAGTGATATCTATCATTTGCTTTTTACTGCTTCGTTGTATCATTTTTTTAGACTTTGCCAATTCCGTGGGAAGAAACTCGTCCTGATTCAAATCCTTATAACTATTTTTTTCAAAATAAACTTTTTAAGTTCTCGAGATTTTGTCCTCTCCTCCAACAACTAAACGTCTGAAATAAAGCAAATTCTACGAAACATAATATTAGTAGTGATAATATTTAAACTAAAATTTCTGAGGGATAGATACCAAATATTATCAGCTACAATTTGGATTTGAGCTTAGAATATGGAGAACTAGAGAGATATGTAAAGATCTCGTGGATCGACAATCACTACTAGTACTTGGTAAAAGAGAGCTTTGTTAATATCAGTTAAAATATCGAAAGTTATATAGCATTACTGATGCTGCTTTATATCAAGACTAGTACAATGCTGCCATACTCTATTACATGTAGGATCTTGTCAAATGGTAAAACACTGAAGAGAAATGAGGACCACATGTGGTCCATCGACAATCAAACTCAATTCAACTCCACAAACAAGGACTATTATTTATGTTGCAACATCAATCTTCTTCTGTAGATACCGGTATACATGTGTGATTGAGAACGAAGGGTGCTCGTACCTCGATTTTATGCAGAGTCGAGCCACGGCTAGAACTTTCTGGAGTTCTCTAGAGTTATAGTCGTTACCTAAATCTGGATCTATCATCTTATCAATGGAGTTTGCAATGCATGAGTGTTGTACCCACTCGATCAAGTCTTCGCCTTGTCTGTCCGATGATTGTCCTGTGATCAGCTCCAACATCAACACTCCTAGTTGGAATATCACGTTTCCACATTCCTCATCCGCACATGATCCTACACACCCGTGTCTTGAACCGTAAAGAAAGCGCGGAAAAGCATTGATCTTGGGAAGAAGAAATACATTTGGTGCTTACCATTCGAGCAAGAATCGTTGATTACTTTGGGATGGCGTCGTGGGTGTCTGTTGACGCGGATATCTGAAATCTGTGAGATGAAGATTTCAGTTATTGATAATCGGTTTGTCTGTACCAAACTTTGTTGTATCTTAGAACTTACTTTGGGGGTGAAGTTTTCATCCAACATGATGTTACATGAGTTCACTGAAACATCATATATTTTTGCATCACTACTGCTGAAGATTAGCAAATATTCCTGCGGTTAAAGAGCCGATCATAAACATCCTTTTACCCCTTTATAGATAGTATAATCCGTATGTTTAAGTAAGCAAGAATACTCATATTACTGTCCATAATTTTGAAAAACAACTTACTAATGCAGCTGCGACTCCAATGGCTATTTGGATGCGAGTCTTCCAGTTCAAAGGAGTCTTAAGCGGATCTATCAAGAAAGAGACAAATATTCAGTAACGACGGATTTTGTTTTGATGTTACTGTTTTGAGGGTTTTTACCATTGAGGTGTTCTTTCAAGCTTCCGTTTTCAATGTTGTCAAACACTAGCAGCCTGAAAAGCAAGAAGAAGATGTCAAATAAAAATGCAAACAAACAATTTCTTCTTCTATCTAAGTTTCAAGAAATGAAGTAAGACCTCTTGCGTCCAGTGCAAAACCCGCAAAGTGTGAGGAGATGACGGTGACGTAAACGTCCCAAGAGTTGCACTTCCTCATAAAACCTTTCTCGTCCAAGATCGAGAGAGTTCAGTTCTTTGACCAAAGCTACCTCGCCACCTTTGAATTTGGCTCTGTATGCAGACCCGTGATGGTTGCTGTAAATAACTTTACGGAAACCTTCTGTTGCTTTCGTTATTTCCTTGTATCCGAATCGTCTGACAAATTCTATTCTGCCTGTGAAAAATGGCACAATTGGAGGAGGTTACATTAGCTTTTACAGAAACATAACATAAAATACACATAGTAAGAGATTAAAAGAAAAAGAAGTTGAATTGGAGGCTCAGTAAGTAAGAAGCTGAGGAATTTTAAAGTCAAATACTACTTGAAATCAACCAAATAAAACAGATACTACTTAAATATAATCCTACTATAGAGTTCATCAACCTTAAAGTCTCACATAGAACTCAAACCAAAGTCACTCAAATGATTCATGAAACTGATAAACCTTACAATTTTATATGGTGCAATTGGGAATACTTTTTAAATTAGTATGAGATTAGAACAGAGTACTGTCTTAGTTTCTGAAGCATTGACCAACCAACATCAACCCCACTAAGATCTTTCACCAGATCAGGCATAACTTATAACCCTAACAAACTATGTACTATAACATTGATAGGTTTGATTTGAGAT